CCATTTCAGATTAAGTGGCTGTCCAATCTCACCCACAACCTCTGGAGGGAAGTCATCCCACTGATTAAATTGTTCTGTGGGGAAATTCCTCCTAAGTTCCAGGTTGCTTCTCTCCTCGATTCGTTTCCATCCGTTGCTTCTTGTCCTGCCCTCCGCTGCTCTGGAGAATAGGGTGTCCCTCTCGCCTTTGTGGCAGACCTTCAAATATTTTTTGGGACCCCCAAATTCCCCCCCCCCCCAGCCGAGGCTTTCTCCCCGAGAGAGGCAGTGTGGAGGAAGAGCCGAGGCTCGCTCACTCGCTGTCCTTGGGCTGCCTCCTGGCGTCCAGATCTGGGCTAATTGAACCCAGATGTTGAGGCTCACTCAAACGCAGCGGGACTCCAAGGAAAAATCTGGAAACTCTGGCCTGGTGATGGCAACCAGGACCAGACCAGGATTCCAAGCCTGCCTTGCCTGCCCCGAGCGAAGCCTCTACGGAGCAGCCCGGTCTGCCACAAGGGTGTATTCTGGGCCTGGGCTCTATTCCGCAGGATTTCGAGTCAGCTTCTCCTGTTGTTGGCAGCACCCGAGTTCCTTGGAAGCGTGTGCGGATCGGCCGCCCCAGGACGCTCCCCTGTAATTGCAGGCTTCTGGAGAGCTAACTGCTACTTCCACGCAGCTCTGGTGGCGCCAGCTTGGAGGGCCAGGCCCTGGCTGAGGTTAGGCTTGGTCCCAGCTCACCCTCTGCAAAAGGCAGCCAGATGTTAGCCAGAAATCAGCCCACCAGCCGGCCCCCTCCCCTGTCCAGAAAAGCCTCCGACAGGAAACGGATGGGGGGGGCGTTCTTGAGTGTGCCTCCCCCAACACTGCCTGGCCTGGGAAGCAGCCTGGAAGATGGAGACAAGCTAGGCCCGCTTGCCTACAGCTGCGGGAGAAGGGAGGCAGGGCTTCGAGGGAGGGCTCCCACCTTCCAAGGCAATTCTTACTCAGAACTCCAGTCTAGCCCCCCCCCCCACCTCCCCAATTAACAAATGTAAATGCTCCTCTAAGAAAAGCACTCTGCAAACTCTGTTTCCACGCATGGCTGCTGTGCAAGAAGTAGCGTGTCACGTCCAGAGAGTTCGGTATGGAGAAACCGCCCATCCCCAGGGGCCAGGAGGCCAGTTAGTGGCAGGCAAGGCAGAGGATTTTAAGAGGAACTGTTTGGAACGAAACTAAAGGCATCTGCTGTGTTCAGACCCGAAGGTGGGCAGAGGTGTGGCAATTCATCTCCCGGCTTCCAGAAAAGCTGGCGAGACTAAAAATTGAATTCTGAAATGGCCCCCTTGATTTATTTTGCTATTTGATGCTTACAGGGAGGGAAGCACTCGAGGCAGCCTACAGGAACAGCATAAAGGCAATTAACAAACATAAAAGCACAAATAAGATTAAACAGCGCTATAAAATGTTTGAATTGACCTGCTGAATCACTGAAACAAAACTGAATATCGTTCCATTAGAAACGAATACATTTAAATATTTATTGAAAACTTAACGGCATTAAAACGAAACAGGTAAACCGGAGGAGAGGGTCCTTGAGGCCCACTTGAAAAACACCCTTCAAAGATGAAGCTTCTCTCCCTCTCTCTCTGGGACTTCCTAAGTACCGGGAGCCTCCCTTAGGCACACTCGCTCTGTGAGTGAGATGGCCATTTTCCAGATTTGACAAATAAAAAGAAACACTCCATAGAAAAGTACTGAGGGCATGATACTTCCACCATGTCCGTTTCTGGTTGGCCTAGGTTTTATTCCCCTTGAAGATATTTTGCTTCTCATCCAAGAAGCTGAGGAAGAACCGAAGATGCTTCCTGGGTGAGAAGGGAAAGGTTTTCAAGGGGAATAAAGCCCAAGAAAGTCCGGTGGCCTTTTGGGGGGGGGGGGAAAGCGCCTTTGGGACAAGGTGTCGAGATTCTCCACAGAGAGGGGCAGACCTCAGCCGTTGCACTCCTCTGTTCATTTACTTAGAGAATCTCCTGGCCATCCATCTTACCTCAGGATAACTCTTCTGTCCTTCCTTCTCCTCCTCCCCTCTGCAGGTTCCACCATGAAGCACCTGATGGTCCTCCTGGGGCTGGCGGCCCTGGCTGTCCCCTGCCGGAGCCAAGGCGGGAGCCCAGCAAACGCCCCCCAGGTCAGCCAGGGGTCTCCCGGACGGCCGAGTGTGGCTCTGGGCTCGGGCTGGGAGCGGCGAGGAAGCAGAGGCTGAGGACAGGCCTTGGGGGATTCCCCCTTGCCATTCCACCCAGGGGGTGGGCTGGCTTGCAGCCCGTGCAGGGGGTCCTCGCTCCACAGGGTGGTGGGCTGCAGCAGAAAGACCCCCCAGGGCTGTGGTGATGGGCCCCCTCTTTGGTGTTTCGAAGGAGCCGGACCCCGCAAGGGAAGCCGGGGAGGAGGAGGAGGACCCCTTTTACAAGAGCCCCGTCAACAAACTGGCCGCGGCCGTTTCCAACTTTGGCTACGCCCTCTTCCGCCAGCAGTCCAGCCAGACCCCCTCGGCCAATGTCCTGCTCTCCCCCTTCAGTGTCGCCACGGCCCTCTCGGGCCTCTCGCTGGGTGAGCTCCCCTCCGATACCCCCCCCGGGGCCAGGATCGTCCCGGGAAGGGACCTTGACAGGCTCCCTCTCTCTCCCGTGGCCGACAGGGGCGGGCGAGCGGACGGAGGACGTGATCTCGCGGGCGCTTTTCTACGACATGCTCGACAAGGCCCAGCTGCACAGCACCTACAAGGAGCTCCTGAGCAGCATCGGCGGCCCCACCAAGGGCCTGAAGAGCGCCTCCCGCCTGGTGATGGAGAGAAGTAGGCCTCCTTCGCCTTGGGGGGGGGGAGAGGAGCCGGGGGGGCTGTCAGCCCCGGGCGAGGGACAGGCCCCCCCAAGGGCTCAATGGGGCGTTTCCCCCCCCCCCCAGAGCTGAGGATGAGAATCGCATTTGTGAACGAGCTGGAGAAATCCTACGGCTTCCGGCCCCGGGTGCTCAGCGGAAACGCCCGGGCAGACCTGCAGGAGATCAACCAGTGGGTGCAGCAGCGGACGGGGGGGAAAGTCGTCCGATTCCTGGGGGAGATCCCGGCCGGGCTCAGCATCCTGCTTCTGGGGGCTGCCTCTTTCAAAGGTAGGTCTGCCCGCCCGGGGAAGCCGGGCTCCTCCTCCGAAGGGAGGGCGTCCTCCACTCGGCCTTTCCTTCCCCTCCGGCCACAGGGCAGTGGGCCACCAAGTTTGACCCCAAGCTGACCAAGCCTCAGGACTTCCATCTGGACGAAGACCGGACCACCCAGGTGCCCATGATGTCGGCCCCCAGAGCCATCTTGAAGTATGGCTTTGACTCCGAGCTCAGCTGCAAGGTCAGTGGCCAGGAGGGGGGTGGGCCAAGACTGGGGAAACACGGCTGCCCTGCGGCTCCACTGCCCTCTTTCTCCCCCCCCCCAGCAGCCCTGGGAGAACATGTTGCTCCTCTTGGCTGCCTTTCCAGAAGCCGTCCCCTACCTTACCGCCCCGTTTGGGGCAGCCACACGCCCCGATGGCACCTGAGCTGGAGCACCCCGTGTAGCGCAGCCCCTCCCTCACCAGGGGTCCTGCCCATGCATAGGCCAGCCCACCTGCTGCTGGGGGAGCCGTGCAAGTGGGGGCAGCAGCTCCCTTCCCCCAACCGAGAGCGGCTCCCCCGGCCCCCCCGGGAATGCCGAGCTGGCCCCTCGGCCCACTCCGCCTACCCCGGCTGTTGCTGCAGATCGCCCAGCTGCCCCTGGCTGGAGGGGTCAGCCTCATGTTCTTCCTGCCGGAGAGCGTCACCCAGAACCTGACCCTCATCGAGGACAGCCTGACCGCTGAGTTTGTCCACGACATCGACAAGCAGCTGAAGACCGTCCAGGCCGCGCTGAGGCTGCCGCGGCTGAGGCTGGTGGCCGAGACGAGGCTGGGGGAGGCGCTGCAGGCAATGCGTAGGTGCCGGGACGGGGTCCTCGGGCCAAGCGGGCCGGTGCTCCTGTTGCCGAGGCTTGCTCTGTGGGTCTGGCCAGGGGCTGGCCCTCTCACAGGGCCAGGGGGGGTCCCAAACGGCTGCTCGCCCGAACAGGAGCCACTGCAATGGGTGAGAGCCATTTGTCCGTGGGGGGGAGGTTGAGCAGAGACTCCCTCCTCGCGGTGGTGAGCGGCTGGAAGGTCACTCAGCCTCCAGGCCTCAGGGGAGGGGGAGGAGGAGGAGGCAGCCAGGTGGTAACGGCCCTTCCTCCCTCCCTCGCAGGGCTCCAGGCGCTCTTCTCCACACCGAACCTCGGCAAGATTTCCGCCAAGCCCATCAGGATCTCCCACGCACATCACAAGGTGGCCTTCGACCTCGGGGAAGACGGGGCCAGCCCTGTGTTTGGCTCCGAGACGGAAGTCGCTCGGCTGAACTTCCCCATCGACTACACGCTGGACAGGCCCTTCCTGTTTGTGCTTTACGACAACGACAGCGGCACCCTCCTCTTCATCGGAAAGATCCTCAACCCTCAGCAGGCCTAAAGCGCCCCCCGAGACCCCCAAGCCCCAGGAGCAAAAGGGGGGGCTCCTTGACTGTGTCCCGCAGCTGGTTTTGCTTACATGGTCCAATAAAAGAGCTTCTGCCTTAAAGAGCCTCCAGAGTGGCTTTTTCAGCTTCAAAGGCCGGTGGATGGTGGAGAAACGGCGAGGGGGGGAGGAGTTGTGGGGAGGATGGGGGGAAAGCAGGGAGAGAGGGAAGGCTCTTCCCATCACCCGTCAAGGCCCCCTCAGCCAAGTCGACAAATGCAGCAGCCTCTTTTCCTCCCAGGCAACGATGCCCTTGGGCTGGCACAGACCCAGGCCTGGCATCCTGGCAAGGCTGCATGGGTGGTGAGGCTGTTGGATCCCCCGCCAGGCCGATCTGCACATGGTCCGGTGATTTCTTGCTTTGGCTCCTTAATGGGCAGTGTGTGTGTGTGTGTGTGTGCCAAGCCCCTCCCCCACAGCAGGCCGACTGGCGTATGCTCACAGCAGCTGGGCTGCCGCTGCGGGTGCGGTTCGGAGCAGCTCCTCCTCCAGGCAGACCCTCATCTCTCTCAGCTCCTGCAGCTGGCCGCTCTCTGGGCCCAGGTGCACCCACAAAACCGCCTCGGCCCTCTGCACGGCCTGCAGGGCTTCGGAGACCAAGCGCCTGGCGGCCCCGGAGACAAACAAGAAGTTAGCAGGAGAACAGGGTTGCCCCCCCCGCCCCGGATGGGCCCACAAAGCAGGTCCACAGCACCAGGCCTCTCGTGGGGGGGCTGCGCCTGGCCGGTTGGGGACAGCGCGGAAGGGAGGCGGTGGTGGCGCTGGGCTAGGCTGGGAAGCCGGAAGGCCCAGGCGCGAGGACACAATCACGGGACTGCCAAGTTCACCTCTGCGCACTTTGCAACGTAAGCAGATCACTAAACTAACTCTCTCCTGCCACAATCTGGAGCCCCAGTTCCCGGGAAGGGAAGAGCCGCCCGGGCGATTCCATGAACGCCAGCTCAGCCCCGGGAGGCAGGAGCAGGTGGGCAAGGAGCTCAAGGCCGCCCCGCCCTGATGCTGTTTGGCATACGGGGGCGGGAGGGGGAGACGCTCTGTGGGCCTCTCGAGATCCTGCCACTTTCTGCAAGGAAAGAAGCAGAGTTCGGGGGGGGGGGTCTTGAGTCTGTTCCCCGGCCGAGGGGGGCCCAAAGGGGTCATTTTCAGAGAAGCCTCTGCGAAACCTGAAACCTTTTTGAGATTTCTGTGCTGGACACAGCAAGGAAAGGAGGATTTAACTCTCTTTTTTTCTTTCTCTCTCTCTCTCTCTCTCTCCCCCCTGCCTCCATCCCAGACCAACAACCGCTGCCCCCCAGGCACTCCCCTCATCCAAGGCCGCCCGGGCAAGGCCAGTCCCTGGGCCTGGGTGCGAGGGAGCCCCTGTGCCAGGGAAAGAATGGGCCGGGCCCCCACAGAGCACAAATGGGCAAATATAGGCCTGCCCCCACCGCCCCAGACCTCCTGCCAGAGGCCAGCCATGTGGTCTCAAAGCCCACCCGGAGGAGCCCGTCGCCGAAGGGGAAGGGGCAGCGTGCTCACCCGTTGAAGAGGAGCTGGGCCAGCTTGAAGACTTCCTGGCCGGCTTCGACGCTGGCAGGACCGAAGTGGGCCTCCACGGCCCGGAGGCTCCTGCGCAGGTGCCCGGCCGCTTCCTGCCACCTCCCTGGGCCAAAGGCAAGGGGGAGGCTCTGAGGCGGAGAGCGGGAGGAGGCCCTCGCCTTGTTGCGGAAAGCGCGGATTGTGCAGTAATAAAAGCAGGGACAAACTACGGCTAATCCTCGACCTGCAGCCGTTTGAAGTTGCAACGGCACTGTAAAAAGTGACTTCTAATCAATCCTCATACTTACGACCGTCACGGCATCCTTAGTCATAGGATGAAAATTTGGGCACTGGGCAACCGGCATGTGTTTGCAACGGCTGCAGCGTCCCTGGGGCCGGGTGGCTGCTGTTTTCAGCCTTCCCGTAAGCGAGTGAATGGGGAAAGCTGGACTCGCTTAATGGCCCCACGATTCACTTAACGACTGCGGTGATTTGCTTAACATCCGTCACTAAGAAAAAGGGGGGGTCAAATCTGGCGGCCGATTTTAAAAGCTGCGTTGCTTAGCAACAGAAATTCTGGTCCCGATTTGAGAGGGGTGGGGTAACTCAGCCTCCCCCCCCGCAGCCTCGGACAGGAGTGGAGGGAGGCGAAGGGGCGGCGCCAGGGGCCTCGTACCTGTGGCTGCATACACCTGGGCTAGGAGGTCCTCGATCTCGCCCATCCGCAGGTGCGCTGGAGACAGGAAGCGCTGGGCGTCCAGCTGGCACGTCTGCAGCAGCTCCAGGGCCGGACCTGGCCCCTCGGAAGGAAAGTGGAGCGTGAGGGGCGGCCCTGACCGGCGGTCACCCGGAGAGGCTGCCAACCTGGATGCCTCCGCTCGCTAGGCGGGGGGGGGAAGGGCTCCGGGGCCTCCGCAGGGTGGGCGGCCAGCCAGGCCGGGATCCAAATGGCAGCCGTTTGCCAAACACCTCGAGTCAAAAAGGGCAGTGGGAGACAATGCGCCCCTCCCCATCCATCCTTCGCCCCTTCTATGACAACAGCTCTGCAGGGGGGTTCCCCACCTTCCCCCCCCTTTGACCCATCCCTCCCTCCCAACTGGCCTCCCCACGGGGCTCCCGTCACAGAGAATCTCTCCTGCTTTCCCCGTCTTGTGCCGGGCCCCGCAAACCTCCCAGGCAGAGCCCCCCCCTCCCGGGGGCTTTTGTTCTGGGCAGAATTCGAACTGGGGCCGGAGCGACCCTGGAAAGCCGCCCCTGCAGGCGGAGGAGAAGGTCCCTGGCTCTCTGGGGTTTTTTGTGCCGTAAGGACTGGCAGGAAGAGGCTTGCTCTGAAATCCCCACCGCTTGTTTCCCATTCACATGAAGTTTAATAAAGCAAAATAAATAAAATTTACTTATGACAAGCCGGTGGTGAAGGGAGCAGGCTAGAAAGTTGGAAATCAGGAGTTCACCTGAGCTGACAGAAGAGAATATTTCCGGCTGGGGGGGGGGGGAAGGAACGGTGGGGGTCCTCTGGGCTCTCTGAGCTCGGTAGATTTTTTTTGCAGACGTTTCATGACCCAACTAGGTAACAGCCTCAGTGCACTGAAGATGTTCACCAGCAATAAAACCACCGAACTCAAGAGAGCACCAAGCCGGGGTGACCGTGGGCCAATCCCTCTTTCATAGCCCAACCAACCTCACAGGGTTGTTGTGGTGGAGGAGGCTAGAGAAGGAATGAGGATTAGGTACGTTTGCTGTCTTGAGTAACTTATAAAGTGAGATACAAATAAATAAATATGTTACGTTGCAATGATGCCACTGGGGGTCCAGCCGGAGCCTCTGTGCGGGAATCCATTCTGCCTGTCAAAAAGGGCTCCAGGATGCAGATGGGGGGAGGGAGGGAGGGAGGGGCCTCACCTGGCTTGCCGTGCTCCAGGAGCTCCGAGGCTGACTGGGTCGAGTGCCGAAGACGAAGCAGCCGGCGGTGGAAGTCCTCCTCGGGGGCCAGGTGGCTGCAGGCCTCACCTGAGCAGCGGAGGGTGCCTCTCCCCTAGGAAGCCCAGGGGACACGTTGGGGACAGACGGCCGGGCGGCTGGGAAGGCTGCGCTTGGCACCCAACACACCTGGGCTGGCGGTGGGTGGGAGGGGCCTTGCATGTTTACCCGCAGCAACACCTGAGCAGACTCACCTGCATGGGGCTCTGGCAGGCTGGGCAGCAGAAGAGGCCGGCCTCGGGGGCGTCCCTGGGCTGCAGCTCCTCCAGGCAGGCCTGACAGCGGCACTCAAAGAAGTACTGAGCCAGAAGCCGCCTGCGCCGCTCAGCAGCCCCCATTCGGCACCTGTGGGGCCCTGCAGGCAGGGGGGAAGGGGGGGGCAGAGGCAAGAGGAGAACGGTCAGCCTGTGGGGGAGGGGGGGCTGTCACAGATCCACACAAAGCCCAGCTGTTTCCGCTTGGCTGCAGTTTTCTGGTGAACAGGGCCTTCTCCGTGGCGGCCCCCTCCCTGCAGAGAGTAGAACGGCCCCACCTTGACACTTCTTCCAAAGGCCCTGGAGACGGGGTCCTGCCGCTGGGCCTGGGGGAGATCCCGGGGGATAATACGCAGCCCACCACCTGACTGCCCTGGTTATTGCGGCTGGGGTGTGTGTGTGTGTAGATGGGCGATTATTGGGGCTTGTATTGGCCTTTAACGTCTGTAAACTGTCCAGAGTCTCCGTGAATGGGTGAATTGGGAAACGTATAAATTTTTCTAATAAACAGGCATATTAATAAATAAATAAAACCAGGGAAACCTGTCAGGAATTCCAATAATCAAATTTTATCCCCACAGCTTGATCCTCATCAATAGTTTACCAGGACTTCCAGTCCTTAAAAATAATCAGTATCTGCCCCCCCCCCGGAAACAAACCCCATCAATTTGCCAGGGGCAGGGGAATTGCCCCAGAGGCAGCAGTGGCAGCTGCAGCAGCATTGTAACCATCCGGACAGGAGGCGGCATTTGCCCCCCCCCGGGCCTCCCCCCCCCCCGATTTCAGCCGGGCTTCTCCCCAAAGAGCAGCCGGCAGGCAGGCAGGGCAGAGGGCGGCCCAGCCGGAGAGCCAGCGCGACCCACAGCCGTCGCTCGGGGGGGGCTTGGTTTGACCTGGGAAATGCCCCCTGCCTTTTTGGGGGGGGGAGGGCAGAAGTGCGATGCTGACGCCCATTTCGACACTCATCTCTGGCTCATCGTTTTGTTGAGTTCTGGAATTGGCTCTCAGACTAAAAGTAACAGGAGCCAGAATCATAAAATCACAGCCCGGATAGTATCTCATAAAAAAAAAAAAAAGAAACGGTGGAAAGAAGGTGAAAAAAAGCTGAAAAGGGGCCATTGCTTTTTTACGCCCCAAGATTAGGTTTTAAGTTGCCGTGCTGTGAAAGGCGGTTTTCCGGGGGCTTCCGACAACCTTCCAGGAACAAAACCCCTCGCAAAATCTCTCCATGCCCCACGGCGGCTGGAGGGGGAGGGGGGGAGGAAAAGGGAAGGGCACTGGCGGCTCCTAGACGGTGGGAAGGGAACCGGTTCCGGAGGGGGAGGCTGGCTCTCCTTGCGGCCACCTGTGCCCCAGTCGCCTCTCAAAAGGGTTTCTCCGGGGCTGCCCTTGAAGACTACGCAGAGGCTAGTCTCACCTGGGCAGTTCCTGGGGCAGAACAAGAAGCAGCTCTCTGTGCCCCAAGAACTGCCCAGGTGACCCCTTGGCTGTGGCTGCTGCCCAGTCCCAGGGAAGGGGCCGCTTTGGGCCTTGAAAGCCCCACCTGGCACGGGACCCGGTGATCCGAGGGGCAGCCTCTACCCGATTGCCGAGGGCCACGCGGGGGGGGGGCTGCGGCTTTGGGCTGTCCCTCCAGAGAGCCCCCAGGACTGCTTTTGCCATCAGGCCTGGGGGGGTCCCCCGGAAGTGGGCAGCCTGTTCAATGGCTGCATTGTGTATAATTGTATAGACTGCACACGCCCCAACTTTTTAAAGTTTATATATTATTATAAATTTTATAGGACAGGAAGGCCTGGAGGAACGTTGTCCATGGGGTCGCGATGGGTCGGACACGACTTTACAACTAACAACATATTATTATTATCATTATTATTATTATTATTATTATTATTGGTTTTTAAACTGTTTTTCATTGCGTTCAATGGTTGAATTGTTTAGTTTGTGCTGCAGTTATGTGCACCGGCCAGAGCCACAGGCCAGTGGGGGGAGGGGCAGCGGTATAAATCCAATAAAAATGACCGAATGAAGCTTAGGGGGTCAACAGCTTAATGAAAGCCTCAGACCAGCCCCTCCCAGGGTTACCCCAAGATAAAGAGAAGCACTTTCAGAATGGCAACAGTTTCCCCCCAAAAGCCATCCTGACCTGCGGGGGCCCAGCTCCTCCCTCGGGGGAGGCCGGGGGGGCCAGCCCCCACTCACCGTAGCAGTGGAGGAGCTCCTGCCCGCGAGGAATCGGGCGCAGGGCTCTGACCTCCGCCGTGCGGCCGGTGAAAGCCACGCTGGTGTTGGGGTCGCAGGAGTGGTTCAGCAGGCTGAGGGCCGGGAAGAGACCCGTGGCCAGGCGCACCTGCCCACTGCCGGCCACCAGCCCGTCTTCGGGCCCTGGGAGGAAGAGGGAAAAGCTGGAGGCCGAGACGCTCGGAAGACACGCAGCCTCCCTCTGACACCCGCACCCGCGGCCTCTCGGCTGAGGGACGACAAGGCCCACCCCACCCCCTGCAAGGCCACCTCCACTGACCCGAGGGGCGCAGGGCGGTCACAGCCTGGCCGTTGCACTGCAGCTGCAGCACGTGACGCAGCATGGCCTCCCCCAAGACTTCCAGCCCAGCTGGGGCGTCCGCTTCCTCCTTCTCCTCGGCCCCCTTTGCGATCCAGGCGTCCAGGCCAGCGTCCTCCTCCAGGGCCTTGCATAAGGCAGCAACGCTCAGGCCGCAGAGGAACCTGAGGCCGGGGCTGTGCCGATCCGTGTGAGGCAGAAGGCTGAAGATGGCCCGGTAGGAGCCGCTGTACCGTCCGTCGGCCTCACAGCCAGGAATGGGCCGGGCGCCCTGCTCTGCAGCCGCCCCAGCGACGGGGGCGTCTCCCTCCTGCGGCTGGGTGACCAAGGCCTTCACTTGCGCGAAGCCAGCCACCAGCACGGTCCGGAGGGCCACGTGGCAGAAGACGCCCAGCGCCAGCAGCAGCCCTCCGAGGGCGCATTCTGCCCAGTGGTAGCTGCTCCACGCCAGCTGGGCACAGCCAGGGCCGCAGTACCTGCTGTAGCTGCACCCTCGGCAGGGCACGGAGGCCAGCAGCGGGCGCAGGCAGTGGTGGCAGTGGAGGTCGGGGTTGGCCAGCCGCCCGTCCTGTAGGGCCTGGGCGGTCCCTTCCAGCAGGAGGCTCTCCCCGGGACACAGGACGCTGGCGAACGCCGCTTCCTTCACTAAGAGCTTCCCAGGAGGAAGATCCTCAGCGGCAACTAAATGGCGCCCTTTGCAGCCGGAAAAACGCAAGCTGACGGCCACCGAGGCGCCAGAGACGCGGCTGCTCTCCTCCCAGGGCTCCGGGTCCGTTGCAGCCTGGCTGGGCGCAGCAGGCGGGCGACGGAAGGCCCCGCTCTCCTCACCACCTCCGTCCCGCAGCTTTTCCAGCCGGCCCAGCAGCACCCGGTGACGGGCGGCCTCCGGCCTCTGCTGCGCAGAGAGGCTCTCCTGCACGCGGCGCAGGGTGTCTGCCGCTTCCTGCAGCCGGCCCAAAGACAGCAGGCACTCGGCCCTGCGCAGCTGGATCTTCGGCAGCAGCTTCTCTGGGCAGCTCCCCATCAGCTGCGCCCGTCCGATGTCCTCCAGGCAGACCTGCTGAGAGGAAGTCAGGTTCCCCTGTAGCCTTCAGAAAGGATTCTTGGCTTCTCCCTTGCTGGGCTCTGGGGGGGGGGGGAATGTACGGCTAAGAACAGCGCCTCCTCCAGCCCCCCATCAGCTGCTTGGGGAATTCTGGGAGTTATGGTCCACGTTTCTTAACGATGCGGTCTGAACATCTGCTCAGTAGGAAAAAAAACCTCAGAGTGCCTGTCAGATCTGCCTCAGCTTGAACCCCTAATTAAGAACCATTTTTAACTCCGCTTGATGAGAAAGGTATAGCTTACTAGAAGTCAAGCGAATTACCGTAGTGCAGGGGTCCCCAACCCCCAGGGAGCAGCCCACTACCGGGCTGTGAGCTTTTCAGAACCGGGCCACCCGAAGCGGCAGACGAGAGCATGCGTGCATCCTCTCTTGATTGGGCAATGGGCAAGCACCACACCCGCCTGCCTGCCGCTGGCACTGAACAACCCCGCCCCCCCCGTCCTCCCCCCAGGCCGGTCCGCAAAGCCAGAAAGGCTGGGCAACTCTGCAGTAGTGCACATCCAGAACTGAAGATTGGCCGCCAAAACCCCCAAGTCTAACCTCTCCCTCCCTTAGTTGCCCCCCCTCACTGGCCCTTACCCCCACGACCAGCCAAATTCAAGCAAGATGTTTTCAGGACGGTGTGCAGGCCTTGACCTTAAAGCTCTTCTCTAAGCGCTTTTCTTTCCCTCTCAGCAGCCCCCACATCTGCCCCCTTCCCGCCCAGTTCAGGGCTGCTCATACTGACTTGGTTGCGGAGAGCAAGCATGAGGTGGCAGCTAACCTTACTTGAAAAGGCTCCTTTCTACGCCCATCTGGCAGACAAAGCATCTTTAAATCAGAATGAATGAATATAATGCCTTACTGGGTAGGGGGGAGAAAACCTGCGTTTCTGGGAGGGAAACACTTTGAACTCTGAGCAAAAGCAATTTATTGAACTCACCTCAAACTGACCAAGATGGAAAAGGGCTGCAGAGCGATTGGCGTAACAGGTGGCCATTTCTGGACTGCCAGCCTCCGCGTGGGACAAGGCCTGCAAGAACCAAAGGCAGAGAGGATGTTTTACAGAGTAAATCGGCCACACTGTGGCGGAATGCAGTCTGGATTCCAAGAGGGAGGAGCTGCATTCCTCACCCCTGCACTTCCTGCTCCCCCCTCTGGCCATCTTTCAATTCACATTATTTTGTTTATTTTTATCGCTTCATTGCTTTGCTATTGTTAGGTTTACATTTTTTATCATTTTCTTCTGTTTTACCGTTGTAAGCCATCCAGAGGTGCCCCACGGCGAGATGGACAGCGAGTACACTAAACCAGTCTTTCTCAACCCTGCCGGTTTTAAGACATGTGGACTTCAACTCCCGGTATTCCCCAGGTAGCAATCCTGGCTGGGGAATTCTGGGAGTTGAAGTCCACACATCTTCAACTTGCCAAGATTGAGGAACACTACATTAAACAAAACAAACAAATTCCAGAAGGCAAAGAGGCAGCCAAACTTAATTGATGGGAGAAAGAGAGTTCAAACAGCTCCTCCCCACCCATCCTCAGAGTATATTTACCGTGATGCAAGGACAGGGGTACCTTGATACTCAACTGCTTTGAAAGTCATCGAATTTGATACTCAACACATTTCGATGCAAAAATTTTGTCCCCGTACTCATTTGGTACTCAATGCGCAAGGTAGAACTTTTCGGTGTCGGCTGCCTTGAGACTCACTATATTATTTCTGATGGGAAAAATTTGTTTTAGCTGCTCGTTTTTTATACTCCTCTTGCCTCCCGGAACGGATTAACGGCATATACACTGAGGTGGCCCCGTAGTTGCTCCGGTCTGCCAAGGATCTGTCCACA